AATTGTGAGCACTAGGATTCCCACTCTTTGTCTCCGCCTCTCAGAGTATTTTAAGAGTTAACATAACTTAGATAGATTTAATGAAAAACAAAACCTACTCATGGATGCCAACAAAATTTCTTAGGAATTTTTAAACACAAAATAGCTCATTAAGAAATAGGGGTTGAAATAATACTGTTTTGTAATGATGTTACTCTCAGGTCAGAAGTTAAGAAGTTCATGCCCTCACTCTGATGCATTTGCAGCCATGGGTTGACTTCAAAGACACCAGAGTGCTATGGTTTGGATCTTGAATGTCTCCCAAAGGACCATTTGTTAAAAGCTTGGTCCTTAGGGTGGCACTACTGTGTAGTGAAACCTTTAGGAGGTGAAGCCTCGAGTGGGAGGTTCTTGGGTCCGGGCAGTATTCCTTAACAGGGATTGTGGGACCCTGGCCTCCTCCTTCTTCCTCCTCTGCTTCCTCACCAGGAAGTAAGCAGTTTGTTCTGCCTCAGGCGCCCCCCCTCCCCCATTGCTATCAACATGCCTACCTGAGGCCCGAAGTAACAGATCTGCTCATGGTAGAACTGCCAAAATAAACCTTTTCTTTTTATAAGTTAATTACCTCAGGCAAATCATTGCAGTGAGGGAAAGCGAACTAATATATATGGTCTCCTGTTGATAAAGCTGTCTGAGAAGGCAGTTCATAGATTAAAGTGTCAGAGCTTCCAGAGAACTGCTTTACCTAATGGAATGCATGCTCTTGAAGTATCTAAGCTATGCTGAATCTGAAAACACACCCAAATCACAGAAGCCAGTTTCTAGTGAAGTCAGAATGCAATGAGAATTCTGGACATGGAGCAGCCCAAATGTGCCCCTATGAGTTATCTGGGAAAAGAGTAGGATATATGTATATGACACCCCTCTTCTTCTATTTCCACATATTGAAGCCCAATAAAAAGTATTCATATTATTGGCATTTTGAAAAATTGTGTGGTAATTCATCCCAGGGTTTATGACTGGATTATGCAGTAGGGTTCTGAAATGTGATAATACTATATCAGTCGTATGCTTTTCCAGAACTGAAATCAACTTCACCTTGTCCATGAAATGTTTAGGGGCTAAAGCAGAGGATTCTTTACATGCAAACTGCTTACTTGTATTAAGGTTCTGTGCTTGCATGTGAGATGTAAGGAATTGTGCCAGGTGTTGGCACTGAAAACTCAACCAGCTTCTGCCTAGGGTTAGCTCTTATTCCTACTCCTGTCTACCCTCAAGTCACCCTGCATGTCCAACTTGCTGGCAGAATAATGAAAATTTCAACAAACCCTCTTCTTGTTAGAGATAATTTCCACTGCAACTAATATATCAGAATTATTTAGCACTACTGTTCTTTAGTGAGCTATGGAGCAAAGTAGTAAGGACATGTTAGGGATGAGTTAGTCAGTCTAAACTATCAAAACCAACATTTATGCCACTGCCAGCACTACTGAGAGTGAAAAATAGAGTTGAGCAATTTGGGGGAGGTTTGCTAGAGTTTAGGAGAGCTGAACTCCCTCACTGGCCTATGAAAGAACAATTGTTAGTGTTAGAATCTTATCATACCTTTCTTTGTTCCCATTTCCTATTCATTTATGAATATAACATATAACTTCCTCTTAGCAGAACTGCCTTCCATCTAACCCTAACAAACTCTTCTCCCTCTTTGTCCCATTTCCTATGTCTTCTGCTTACTTCTGATCACTCCCCTAGCACTGATCATCGCAACCTTTATCTTACATGGAACAAGAGAAAGACAAATGAGGAAACATCATGTTGAGATCCATCTCTTAAAAACTAAATGAGATTCATTGCAAAGAACAGGAGTTTTAGAGACCAGAAGAAAAAATCAGGAAGGAAATAGTGAGGGCCTGAATGGGGGCAGTAACAGAGGCAAAGGCAAAGTGGGAACAAGTTTTTTCAAAAATATGCTAAAAATAGTCTTAATAGGATGTGATATCTAACAGTAAGATAGTGACAAAGAGGGAGGACTGGAAAATAACTTGAAGTTTTGTGACCATGCTAGTAGTACAGATCAAGTTAATCTTTAATCTTAGCAGACACAAGACAGTAAGGCAGAGAGTGAGAAAGTTGGTGTGTTTGTTTTTGGACACTCAGTGGTAGTATGTAACTCAACATGAACAACCAATGCTCTAAAAGACTAGAAAAATTCTACATTTAAAGAGGGTCAAGATTAAGAAAATCTTCCAACCAGTTCCTTCTTTACTTATTCCTTTTATTTTAATAAGTGAAACACATATGCCAAGACCTATGACAGGTATTAAGAGAAAAGAAGGAAGAAAAAGAAAAGAAATAAAGTAAACATAGCGCCAGCTCTCAGGGAGTATTTGCAACTTTTGGTGGGAATGACACCCTAACAGGGCTTAGTGTTGGAAGGGGAGAGCTACCAGAGGAGGCTTCCTAGAAGAGATGGCATTCATTAGGGACAAGACAGACAGTGCTGACTCAGGCTCATTAACCAACCTAACACCTCAGCAGGGGACTGCATGTCTATCACTTGCCTTCATAGTCTGTACATCCCTTGGGGTTCCAAGCCAGTTACGGGGCAAATTTCCCCGCAAAATTCAGCCACACAGACTTCACCATACTCACTTAATTCCTTCTGTGGAAGTAATGCTGTGACTTCTTTGTGGGAGAACTTCCATTACTCTTCTACTTGGAAACAAGGTATTTGTGCCCAGCTCTTGAGATGCCAGGCAACGCTATGGCAGAGGTAAATTTTAATCTTAAATCTTGAGATCACCATAAAGTCACTCCCCCAGAAGGTTCTACTCTCATGGAATATAGAGCATAAATCACAGTGACAGACTAACCCAGTAATTCAACCCCTGGGTATTTACTCAAGAGAAATGAAAACATAAGTCTATAGTAAGACTAGGACAAGAATGTTCACAGGAGCATTATTCATATGACTAAAAATTAGAAACTACTACATGTCTACCAACTGATGAATGGATAAACAAATTATGGTACATCTATGTAATGCACTACTACTCTGAGATACAAAGGAAGAAAAACTGATACAGCAACACAGATAAATCTCAACAGCATTATGTTGAGTGAAAGTGGCCAGACGTGAAAGACTACACATTATGATTCCACTTATATATGAAGTTCTAGAAGAGATAAAACCATAGCTCTAGAGAGAAGCACCAAGGCAGCAAGTGGGAAGGGGAAAGAGAAAAAAAGATGAACTACCAAGGGGCCCAAGGGAAACTCTGGGGTAATAGAAACATTCCATAAGATTGTAATAGTGATTACATCACTGTATTCATTTTCAAACTTATTGAACCATTAAGTTAAATTTGGTAATTTACTTTATGTAAATTATACCTCAATAAAACTGATTCTAAAAAATAATCCAGCTCTCCCAGCTGGATTTTTGTGGCCTTTGGGATGCTATCAGAGCCAGCACAACCTTAGCCCCCTGGCTCTCAAGAACTCTTCTGCCCAAACACCTATCTCAGGTTTTGACACCCCTTGGCTGCTCTAGACCGAAGATCCCAATAACTCATGCTCACCCTGCTACCCACTCTCAGAATCAGCCTTGTCACACAGAAAACTGATAGTACACAATCCTAACCCTTCAGTGTACTAGACTAGTAACTTGAAGACAGCACAGCTTTATCCTGAACTACTGACGAGGAAACCCCAAAAGAATGGCACTTTAAGGACCCTGACAATGCAGTACCTGGACTATACATGCTTGGCTTTTCTGTTGTTTTCAGTTCCCCAAAGGAGCAAGGAGATGGGCCCATTTTTTTTTTCCTCAACATTTGAAACCATAGCTTCTTCGTGGCTCTCCGATTCCCTGCAGCCTACAGAGATCTTGCTTTTGCATTATCCCTATGTACACAACTCCATGGTTGATGATGCCTGGGTCCTGGAAGCAGGCAATTTGGGAAGCAAGAAAAGGGACCAGAACTTAGAACAACTTTCTGCTGCTTAGAACAACTTTCACAGGTCTGCTGCCTCAAGACCTGTGAAAGAGGCCTGATTCACCATCACCAAACACTTCACTGTTCTCTCTTTCCTTTATCCCACCAATGATGAAATGAAACACAAATCTGAAATTTCTGAATAATTTAAGTATTTTCAGAAATTCAGTTATTGCTAATAAAGATTTACACCAGAAAATGTATAACAACTGTTTTCTTGCACACTTGATGATATATGAAATAGATATAAATTCAGGGCACCTGTGATATGCCAGACTCAGCTAGTTATCTGGTTGCACTGTCTCTTCTGGTCCTTGCAGTAATTCTGTTAAGGACACAAGTCTTTACACATGTCAGTCACATACCCCTTTCTTTGCAGAGAAATTCTCTGAAGCTCAGAGACTAAGAAACTGGACCAAGCTATTTAAAAAGGTTAGAGTAGAGATTGAATCTGCCTCTAAGATGTTTTTTCATAAAAAAAAAAAAACATGAAGTCTGGAAACTGCACAAAATTTTGGGTTAAATGCACACCATCCTGGGTCCCTTCTCAGTTACTTCCTAGCTGTGTGAACCTGGACAAGTAAGTTTCTCTCTAAGTTAGCTTCCTTTTCTATGAAATGAAGAAAAAGATCTTGTATCGCTGAGCTTTGAGAGGAGTAAATAAAATAATTCACTTGAATGAGCACAATAAGTGTTAGCTATTGTGTTTATGACTTCAAATGCCAAGCAGGATCCAAACAGAATAAATGCAACAAATACCACTTTCAACTGTGTACAGATTGAATTTCCACACCATGGATCCCATTCTTCTCTTCAATTAGTCCTGCCCTTCTTCTTCAATGTAGTAAAACTACACACACACACACACACACACGCATGCACACATATGAAGCTTTAGCTTTTAATGAGTCTATGAGGGCCATCTCCACACATTCATGTTCTCTTTCCCAAACTACCTCTGGACATGCAAACTTGACCAGATCACCTGACTTCTGGACAGCTGGTTGCCCTCCTTCAACTCACCTGCTCTGGATACTTGCTTCCAGTGATCTCTGCTACAGTATTGAATGAATCTGTATCTGGGAAGGTCTTTGCTCCCATCTTCAGCTGAATGACAATTGTGTTTCCATGAGAAGCCATTCTTGACATCATTTCTGCATCTTCCACTGTAATACACGCTGTGGGGATCTTGGGCACACCATCCTGGTATGCTTGAAAACCTGTGTGAGGACTTAGGAAGAGAAGCCACAGGTTACCTTGAGAGTGAAAATGGACCAAAACCCCTGCATATTGATCTTCCTTGATCTTTGCATATGGGGAGTAAGTACAGTGGACACTATTCATTTGCTTTTGATGTAAATTTAGGGTTTTTTGATAACAATAACTTAGAAACTTCAATTTAATAATTATCTCATTTTTGATAGTTGGGATGACCACACAGAGTTGCAAACTGTATAAGCTCTGAAGTACATTGACAGTAATTTCAAGACCAAGAGGTGACATGAGTCCAAGGAGACAAGGGATCTCTGAAGTTGATCAAGGGTGAAAGCCTGGAGCTACATAACCCAGGCCAAATCCTGGTTCCAGCATTCTCTCCCTGCCTGACACCCAAGCAACTTAGATTATTTTTACTTCTCTGTTTTCAGTGTCCCCATCTGTAAAGTGGAGAATAATATTAGTATTAACCCGTAATATTGCTATGAGAATAGAAGAGACAGTCTATACAAGAGATCTAAGGCAGTGTTTGGCACATGGTAATTACTTAGTATATATTAGTTGTTGTTATTTCCTCAGTGCTAACTTTTCCTGCTGAGTTAGTGGAATGATTAATGAATTTGCAAATTACCTTGCAACATGTAGGATGACAATCTAAATATTTATTATTCATATTACATTATGTGATGTCTGGGATTTAACAAACTCTCCTTGTTCTCAGACTCTTTCTCAAGAGAAGAGCAGCATACCACTTCTTAATAGACTTATAAAAACTGATCCTAGACAAGTTTGTACTAATATGTTACAGGTAAGAGCTCCTACACTGAGGGCAGTGAGCACAGCATGTACCTAGTGGAAAAATGACATTGAAAGACGTCGTCTGGCTGTGGTTCTCAATTCAAATACAAAGGTAGCTGAATGTGTTTCTGTAACTAAGTGTGTCTTCCAGTGATGGCACCTCCATCACCGTTCAACAGAAGAAGGCAAAATGAAGACCCAATATTTTTATTTAGAATACTGTACTTTCACAGTGGTGAAATTGTCCTAGTGGGACCAGTCAGCACAAACAATGCCTCCCTGCTCCTATGTACACGCTCCATCTGCAATTTAACAGCAGCAAAGGGAAAAAACACAAAGGAAACCATGAAAATATCAAAGAACAAGTGTTAAAGGGTTACCACCAGTTCTTCATAAATTCTTCCAAAAAAATACAAGAGGAGGAAACATGTCTCAACTCATTCTACAAGGCTTCTATTACTTATATAATAAGCAGATAAAATTAAGAAGAAAATGAAACTACAAACTAATATCTTTCATAAATATAAATGCAACAAAATACTAGCTAACTGAATCCAGTAATGTAGCTTAATAGGACTCATTTCAGGAATATAGGGTTTAATTAACACCCCCCAAAAATCAATATTACCAAAATATAATTTGATGTAGGGCAAAAACCACATGATCAACTTATTAGAAAGGAATTTGACAAGGATTTGACAAAATCTAGCATCCTTTCATGATGAAAACACTAATCAAACTAATGGAAGGGACTTTCTCAAACATCATACATAGTGGTGAAAGACTGAAAGCTTTTCATCAAGATTAGAAATAAGACAAGGATTTCGGCTCTCTCTTGTCCTATTCTACATTAGACTAGAGATTCTAGCCAGGGAACTTAAACAAGAAAAAGAAAAGGACTCCAGTTGAAACAAAAGAAGTAAAACTACCTCTAATCACAGATGGCATAATCTTGTATCTAGAACACCCTAAGGAATCCACAAAAATATTTTAACTAATTAATAAATTCAACAAAGTTGAGAACACAAGATAAATATAAAAAATCAATTATATAGTGGTATATTAGTCAGATTTTTATTACTACAATAAAATCCTGGAAGAAGCTGTTTATCAACAGTTTTGAAGGTTCAAGAGTACACCACCTGCATTGGCTCAGTTCTGATGAGGACCTCATGATAATGGCAGATAGTGGAGCAAGTGGGGAAACAAGCAAATGATTACATCTTGAACCAGGAGCAGAGAAGGCATGAAGGGTGAGGCTAACTTCTTTTGTAATAACCCTCTCAGAAGAACTACCTAAAGGGTCACATACAAAATAATTCATGCCCCAACTGCCTAAGGACCTCCCACCACTCCTTAAAGTTCCCACCACCTTTCAATATCACCCCTCTGGGGACCAAATTCCCTACACATGAACCTTCAGGGGGACACAAACCATATGCAAGCCACAGCCAGTAGTAATGAGCAATACAATAGCAACATAATAGCAAAGAGCAACTGAAAATTAAGTAAACAATTCCGTGTGCATCAGTAACAAAAGCAATAAAATAAAATTAAGAAAAGAAGTTTGAGATTTATGTATTAGAAATGAACAAAATACTGTTGGAATAAATTAAAGTCATAAATAAGCAGAAAACTGTCTCATGTTTATGGATTGAAAGATTCATGACTGTTAAGATGGTGATATTCCCCAAATTTATCTATAGATTTAATACAATCTCTATTAAAATTCCACCTGATTTTTAAAAAGATATTGATAAGCAGATTCTAAAATTCATATAGCAAAAGAAAGGACTCAAAATAACAAACAGAAGTTTAAAAAAATTACAAATTTCAGTAACCAGATGGTATGCTACTGGTATAAGGATAGATAAATCAACAGAATAGAAATCAGAGTCCAGAAATAAATCCTTATAAGGGTGGTCAATTCATTTTCAACAAGGATGCTAAGATAATTCCATGGGAAAGAAAATTATTATCAACAAATCATACTGGGCCAACCAGATAGCCACAGGTAAAAGAATAAAGTTGCACTTCTATGTCACACCATGTAGATATATTAATTCAGAGTGAGTTATGGTCCTAAATGTAATAGCTAAATCTATAAAACTTCATGACCTTGGGTAAGGAAGTTAATTCTTGGATATAATATCAAAATCACAAGCAACAAAAGAAAAATGTTAAACTTTTGTGCTTCAAAGGACATCATCAAAAAGTGAAGAGACAATGCACAGGATGGGAGAAATTTTTAGAAATCATTTATCTGATAAGACAGATTGACAGTTTCAGTAAGGGGATAGGATACAAGATTAACAAACAAAAATCTGTTGCACTGTATCTAAAACATATGAAGAGCTCTTGATAACTCAATAATAAGAACACAGCCCAATTAAACATGAGCCAAAAGCTGAATAGACATTTCTTCTAAGAAGATATCCAGATGGGTGATGAATACCCGAAAGATACTGCACATCATTAGCTGCACATCATAATCAATTGTTTTGATTTTCATTTTTTTCAAATTGTTTCAAAAACAATGAAATGCTACTTCACACTCATTAGGGAGGAGATGAAAAAAAGATAGATATAAACAAGTACTGGAGAGGATATGGATAGGTTTGAACCCTTGTACATTGCTGGTAGATCTGTGAAATGCTGTAGTCACTTTGGCAAACAATTTGACAGTTCTTCAAAATGGTTAAACCCATGCTTACCCTGTGCCCCAGCAATTCTACAACTTAGTCAAGAGAAATGAAAACAGAAACACAAAATTTGTTTAGAAGTATTCATAACAATGAAAGGCTTAAACAACCCTAACATACATCAACTGATAAATGGGTTAAAAATGTGTTATGGCAATACTATGGATTATTCACCAATTAAAAAGAAGTGATATTTTGGTACATGCTGTGCAAAATGGATGAACCTTGAAAATGTTATCATATGCAAAAGAAGCCAGATATAAAGACCATATATTATAAAATTCCATTTATATGAAATGTCCAGAACAGACAATTTATAGAGAGAGAAAGAAAAATTTAAGTTGCCTAGGTCTGGTGGGGAAGAGACAAGTGGTGAGTGAATGGGTATGAGGTTTTCCTTTGGGAATGATAAAAATGTTCTGAAATTAGACAGTAATGATGGTTGGACAACTCTGTGAATATATTAAAAACACAGAGCTATGTAAGCTAGAAGCAGATTTTATGATTTGTGAATTATATCCAAAATAAAACTTCTATTATAAAAATTAAAATAAGAGGGTTAAGGTTCCAGATTTTTAAGGAGAGGATACTGGTAACTTTCTCATTCAAAAATTATGTTTCTATAAACTTAGCTTAATATAAATATATCCCAGTGGTTTCTTTGCTTGCAAGATAGTATACGCAAAATATAAAATGAACATGTGGAGAAAATTAAACTTGAAAGTCTTACACCAGCTTCTCAAATTTCATTAAATTTTTTATGTATCTTATGAAAAGTGACATGATTTGAAGCCAAATGAATGTTTTCTTTTATCTACATTAAATACATGCAATGTTTAAGCAAATGAGTTTGAAATTTCCCACCTGAATACCACACATCAGTCTAACTCCTTTAATGCTGGTAACTTCTGACCAGCTGTTTTAAAAGATGTCAGGCACTTTATGCTTATGAGGATTTCAAAATCTGCAGGGCTCCAATCAGTGCTTGAAAGTGGATCTGTACAACATCTTTGTTGTTAAATACCCAACAAGAGCACAATTACATATCTCTATGAGGAAAGCATAGCTTCTGCAGGGGCATATAATATAATATAATATAATAACCAAAATAAAAATGATTCACAACACTTAGACCCTTATTTCCTAAAGAGAAGTGTGGAGGTGGAATGGCTGTGAGATCTAGGAGCTTTTAAAGCTACAGTCATTTGTTTCTATGAGAGTTTTTTGGTTTTGCTTTTAACTTACTTATTAGAAATGTTAAGGGAGCATTTACTGTTTTATTTGAAAGGCTTCTTGGGCTTAAAAATTAGTTTGAAAGTAACTCTCAGGAGGTGGGAGAGGTGTGAAGGAAGAATAATATAGAGGAAGTGAATTTGATCAAAGTATATTATAAACATGTATGTAAATATAATAATGAAACCCCTTTGCAATTAATTTATGCTTAATAAATAAATTTCATTAAAAGAAGTATTAATTAGAAAAAACTGTCTTGGAAAAATTATAATTGATTTTATCA